GAAGCCCAGGCCACGCCTGAGGCGGGGCAGCATCAAACGGCTCAAACTCTCCCCGACATTGCAATAAATGACTTCAAAGCGACCCGTCATTTGCTGATCTTGCCTCAAATGCTTGGTCTAGTTCAAAATGCTCTTAAAAGAAATTTATAATGCAGAATGCACTATGGCAAATGCATGTATTACCCATTGCGTACACCATTTATCGATTTGCCCCATCAAGATTTGATTGTATCTTTCACCTCTTCGTCTTCAGTTTTCACTCTATTGTTGTTTATTCACTGTGAAGATGTTCTTGTTCAAAGTCTACTTACTTTGTTGTCTGCTTTACAGTTGTGCTAGTGTGACTGCAATCAAAAAAAGCTTTCGAATAGTCAAAAGGGGGATATCGTCGTACCAACCGCCAAGTCCAAATGGTCAGTCACCCATGCTAAATTCGAATCAATAAACACCCATCAATCAGGCTATTCGTATCCGTGAACCTGTTGATAGACCGCCCGCCGAAATGCCTTAAACCCTCAGCACATTAATAAAGTAGGGGAGATGCAAGCTTTTGGAATGCAAAAAGCGCCTATTGCGTACGATAGTGGTCAGAATGCCCCGTGTAAACTTGATCATCTTTTTAAATACAGAATATTCCAATAAAAGCTCCTTTCACAGTCAAATTTTCACGCTTTCACCATTTTCGATATGATTTTATTCAAAGTTCTCTTCACAATCTGTTTGTTTCGCTGCTCTTTAAGCTTTGCAACGGCCCAGACGACCTAGACAGTAGTCAAAAGGGCTATCACACCTTATCAATTGCTAGACATTAATGGGTAAGCTCCCGATCCAGCATAACCAAATCAACAATTGCCTATCAACCAAGGTATCCGTATTCGTGAACCGGTTGATCGACCGCCAGAGTTGCTAAGAACACACCCTATTCAGTATAATGAACCGCCTCCACGCTATCAAGACGAAAGGCCAAGTACGTGGCAACGATTGAGAGGGAATAGAGGTAGTCAAGTTGACTCGAGTAAGGATAAAGGAAAGGAAAAAGTAGAAGAAAGTCCTTCGCCTAATTCGAAGAAGCGAAAGCAGCCTTCCTCTTTCGACCATGAAGCTGGATCAAGCAGAACGAAAATACCAGAAGCAAAGAAGCAAAAAGGATTCTGGACAAGGGTAGCAGAACATAGATATAACCGCTCTTATTATCAGAGACAGAGAGATGAACGAAACGCAGAAGCATTACTGACGATCGGAGGATTAGGTGTTTATGGCGCTTATCATGGTGCAAAAGCGATTGCAAAAGGTGTCAAGGAAGGCTGTGATGCAGCTTGCAGAGCAGCAAGAAACCAAGCAAATCGATTGAGAAATCGAATTACAGGAACGCCTGCGGAGAATCCGGTAACAAGGAACACAGTTCGAAATGGACCAAGCTTATCCAATCGTGATAAGTTTAAGACGAGAAATCTTAGATATCGTCAAAATTTCCACGGAATGGAAGCAGGACCAATTCATCGTAATTCTCAACAGCCTGCACAAAATCTTGCAGCTCATCAAGCCAATGCTCCTGCTGCTCATGTACAGCCTCAACAAGTACATCAACCACAACGTTCGGTTTCCACTCATTCTTTTTCTGGTTCTGGGCCTGCAATATCAGATGAGAGTTCCGTTGATAAGCGCAAGGGTCATCATCGTGATACAGGTCAACAAAGGCACTCCAGCAGTAGTCATTCTACTCATACTTCTTCTGCGAGCTCAGACTCAGTTTCTCGATCAGATTCGATATCATCACGACGCAGAAGTCCAAGCCATGCTTCAGGTGGTGAGGCGTCAAAAGGCTCAGATTCTCCCCGACATCGCAATAAATGACTTCTAAGCGACCCGTCATCTGCTAACCTTGCCCCAAATGCTTGGTCTCGTTCAATACGTTTTTAAAGGAAATGCATATTGCGAAATGCAAAATGGCAAATACATGCATTACCTATTGCGTACACCATTTATCAATTTGCCTCATCAAGATTTGATAGTATCTTTCATCTTGTCCTCTTCAATTTCCACTCTATTGTTGTTTAATCACTGTAAAGATGTTCTTGTTCAAAGTCATCTTACTTTGTTGTCTACTTTACAATTGTTCTAGTGTGACTGCAATCAACAAAAGCTTTCGATTAGTCAAAAGGGGCATCACGCCGTACCAACCGCCAAATCCTAATGATCAGTCAGCCACACCATACTCAAATCAACAAACACCCGTCAATCAAGCTATCCGTATCCGTGAGCCTACTGATAGACCACCCGAATTACCTCAATCTCATCCTGTCCAGCACCATGAACCGCCTCCACGCTACGAAAATGAGAGGCCAAGTATGTGGGAACGACTGAGAGGAAACAGAGGTTCGAGTACAGATAAAGGGAAAGGAAAAATGAGCGAAAAGGAAGAAGAGCAAAAATGGTTCGAGTTGGGGAAGAAAAAGCGTACAGAAGCAGCAGCAAACGATCATGAAGCCGGTACTAGCGGCACTAAATCACTGGGGGAGAAAAAGAAAAAAGGGTTTTTGAGAAGAGTGTATGAGTATGATCGTCGTCACCGATATCGGTATCGTACTGAAGCTGAACGTGAAAGGCATACGAAAGCAGGGGAAGTTGTTTTAGGTATTGTAGGAGCAGGTGTTTATGGCGCTTACAAGGGTGCAGAAGCAGTTTACAATGCAGGAGCAGCTGTTGGAAATAAAGTAAGGAATAGTTGTAATACAGCTTGCAGAGCGGCAAGAGAATGTACAGCGAGATTGCGCAATTGACTTTTAGGAAGGCAAAATCAGCCAGATCTACTGAATCATGATTATCAGCCGGATATAGGCAACAGCGGTTATCGACAATTACACCATCTTTCCAGCTCAGGTTCTGAATCATCCCAAAGATTAAGCCGCTCGAATACAGGATTCAATAATGAACATCCATCACCTCAGCATGAACTACACCGCGCTGCTGCTCAAGCACCAATTCACGCTCGGCAACATTCTCTTTCCACTCACTCTGCTTCTACTTGGGGAGCTGCAGTCACTGATGGGAGTTCCATTAATCGATATTCAGGTCATGACCGCGGTATAATCGAACACAGACACCCTCAAAGTAGTAGTCAAACTGCACGTTTTTCATCTAATAGTACGCCTTCTACAAGAAGAGGCTCAGTATCTCAATCTCCCTCAATGTCTTCACCCAGAAGCCGAAGTCACGCATCAGGCAGTCATATGTCGAGAGGCTCAGACTCAAGTCGACATCACCGTCCAAATCAATGATTCACAATACCACTGATCATTCTTTAAGCTTAAAACAACATCTCGTGATAGTTCCCTACCCGACCTCTTTAATGTAAAATGACAGGGAAAACTTACAAAATGCAAGAAAGAGATGTGTAAGTTACCTAATGCATATCCCAACACCATTTAGCCCCGTTTGGAGTTGATCCAAAATTCAAAGGCAAACTATCACAAACATCTGATCATTTCAATCTACCTTTGTGTTTTCAACCATTTCAAGAACTATGTTTTTCCTAATATTGTTTTTGCATTGTCTTTATTTTCTGACTGCAATTAGCACAAGCGCACATGTCATGAAACGGGCTATCACGCCGTATCAACCGCCAAATCCTGATGGCCAATCGCCTATACCAAATCTGACTCAACAAACACCCGTCAATCAGGTCATTCGAACTCGTGAGCCTACTGAAAGACCGCCTGAGCTACCTCAAGCTCATCCTATTCAGCACCAGCAACCTCCGCCTCGCTATGAAAACGAAAGGCCAAGTTTATGGCAAAGACTAAGAGGAAATAGAGGCTCTAATCAAGATAAAGGAAAAGGAAAAATGAATGAGAAGGAAGAAGAGCAAGAGTTAATCAAAAAGACAGGGAAACGAAAGCACCCAGAAGCAGCAGCAAACGATCATGAAGCCGGTACTAGCGGCACTAAAACACCGGAGGAGAAAAAGAAAAAAGGATTCTGGACAAGAGTTTCTGAAAGTGATGGCAGTATCCGGTTTCGCTATCGTATTAAAGCTCAATGTGAAAGGGAAGCGAAAGCCGGAGAAGCTCTTCTAAGTATTGTAGGGGCAGGTGCTTATGGCGCTTACAAGGGTGCAGAAGCAGTTGTGAAAGGCGTTTATAATGCAGGAGCAGCTGCTGGAAATAAAGTTAAGAATGGTTGTAATGCAGCTTGTAGAGCAGCAAGAAATCGGGCTACTCGCTTGCGAGAACGTATCATTGGCATACCTTCATCAAGATTAACGAGACAAGCATATCGGCATGAAATGAATCTATCAAACCGTCAAAATTTTGAGATGGAAAATCGTCAATTACTTCGAATTCAACGCGAACGCAATCGTCAACAGCTTATACAGAATCGTGCAGCCCATCAACCTAGTCATTCTACTACTCGTATACGGCCTCGAGTAGTACATCGTCCGCAGTATTCTTCTTCTAACCTTTCCACTTCCAGCGTTGGTACTACAATGACTCATGACAATTCCGTCAGTCAGCATAAATATCAAGCGACAAGTTCAGATAGCAGTAGCGATGCTTCATCAGCCAGCTCAGGTACAGTTTCCCGATCTAGATCAACATCATCTCGCAGAAATCCAAGTCATACTTCGGGTAGGGGTGCGTCTTAAGGCTGTAGCTTAGTTCGAAGTGTCCATCCGGGGCGTTCATTGGTCGTTATTTAACCAACTAGGATATGCGTACGACAATGACCAGAATGCCCCGCTCCTATTTGATCATCTTTGAAATACTGACTATCCCAATCAACGCTCCTTTCACACTCCATACTACCCAATTTCACAATATTCGAAATGATATTATTTAGAATTCTCTTCACATTTTGCTTGTTTCCCTGCTATTTCAGCTTTACTTCGGTCCAGACAACCGCAACGTTAGGGAGAAGGGGTATCACGCCGTACCAACCGCCAAATCCTAACGGTCAATCGCCTATGCCAAATCCGAATCAACAGACAACCGTCAATCAAGCTATTCGAATCCGTGAACCTACTGATAGACCACCTGAATTACCTCAAGCTCATCCTATTCAACATAATGAGCCGGCACCACGTTATGAGCAAGCAAATGTGTGGCAAAGACTGCGGGGGAATAGAGGGAATCAGATTAAATTAAATGAGGATAAAGGCAAAGGCAAAGTAAATGAGAAAGAAGAAGAGCAAGAACGATCTAAGTTGGGAAAACGAAAGCATCCGGAAAGAGGAGCAAATGATCATGAAGCTGGTACGAGCGGAACAAGGCTATCAGAAGAAAGGAAGAAGAAGAAAGGCTTTTGGACAAAAACTTCGGGGCGTAAAACTGGTGATGATCGTAATTATTATCGTTATCGTTATGGACGCTCTGACTCTCAACGTAAAAGGGATGCCGAAGCAGGAAACGCTGTATTCACTGTTATAGGTGCAGGTATCTATGGCCTTTATCGAGGTGCAGAAGCGGCTGTTGAAAGGGTCTATGATGCGGGTGCAGCTGCTGGAAATAAGATAAAGGATGGCTGTAATGCAGCATGCAGAGCAGCAAGAGATCGTACAGCGAGATTGCGTAATCGGATCTTAGGAAGACATGATGAACGTGCAAGTCATCCAGCTAGAAATCACCAAAGTGGAGATCACCAGCCCAGGTACCGCTTTGATCTAAATCGCGAACCGCATCCACGTCACAGTGATTATCGACGACTACACCATTCTTTTAGCTCAAGTTCTGCATCATATCAAAGCTTACACAGTTGGGATTTCGGATACAATAATCATTTCCATCCGATTCATCAACAGCATTCTCTTTCTACTCATTCTGCTTCTAGTTATGGAGCTGCAGTGACAGATGAGGGTTCTGTCAACCAGCATACCGGCCACAATCGCAGTATAATCTATACACATAGACAATCATCGGATAGCAGCAGTCGATCTGTTCATACTTCATCTAGTGATACATCTTCTGCCAATCAGGGATCAATGTCCGGTTCTAATAACGTCTCTTCACGCAAAAGTTCAAGTCGTACTTCTGGCAGTGCTGTGTCAAGAGGATCAAATACAGCTCGACATCGCCGCCATACGGGGCAATAAATTGTAAATCACTTTTTGGCCATTTGTGTACACTTTTGATTGATGTAATTGTCTTGCTTGATTCTGTTTGTATCGGGGCGGGAGTAAAACGAAAAAACAAAGTTGAAAGTCTTATAAAAAGTTCAATTTTGTCATCAATCATGCGCATTATACCACCATCGCTCAAAAATGAAAATTCACTATTATTTCTGTCTTGCCATTTTGTCTTATATGCTCACTACTCTTCTTATTACAGTGCAAAGTCTTTCAAACGCTCCTGTTTTGTCAAAACGTGCATACCCAGATTCGCCAACGGCATCTGATGTCTCTACCGATGATGATGGTCGTGCTCAAAGAGTCCCGGCAGGTGCAAGACATAATGCTGGCCGGCAAGCTTTTGTAAGACAACGGCCTCGCTTTCGTCCTTATCAAAGTCATCATGAACGATATTTACCTACTGCAAGACGTAATGATCGTTCTGTAGAGAGCACAAGACGGAATGATGATCATGTTGCACCAGCTGCAAAATCAAACGATTATTTTGCTCTTGTTGCAGCAAGACGGAACGAACGTCCTACAACTGCTGCTGAGCATAGTAGGCATTATGCACCACCTGCAACACAAATCCATGATGCTGTAGTCAGAAAACCTAGAAGCAGACCACAAAACGTACAGGTTGGCGAACGAGCCAAACAACAAAGTGAACCAACTGAGCAGGCAGCATTACATCCAAAGACCTCTTCCCGTTTGGTAAAGGTATTTGCGGGCGAGAAAAGACTGAATCTGATCAAAACGATCCAGAACAAGCGATTGGCTGATCCAATGGCTAACGATCACGAAGCAAGTACGAGTGGAACGGCAACAGTTCCTATACCGAAGAAGAAGAGGGTGACTTCCAATCAAAGGAGCGAACGTAACTCAAAGCGTCGAAAGTCATCTTTGGACCAAGACGTAAAGGATGGAATTGTTTCTGGGGGTGTTAAAATATACAATGATGCGAAGAAGACTTTAAAAGAGTATTGCGATACTGCTTGTCAACGAGCTCGACAAAAAGTAGCAGGATTACGCGATAGGCTAATGGGCAGAAGAAGACCTCAACCTGATAGCCATTCTACTGCTGAAAGAAGAATGGCAAAACGGAAAGGAAAACAAGAATGATTTCTTGACGATACGGTACCAAAAAGGAGACCAGAGGATGGTAGAAGGTAGAGATGTGATCATACTTGTGATCGAATAAATGCTGTACGGTTAGCGCGATAAGATTGCTTCAATTCGAAAAATGATTGTTTTTAGCGTGAATAGAGTTCCACCGATTTGATTAGAAGTATAAATGGCCGCTTCACTTCTTCTTTCACTACACTCTCCTTACTTTCACTCATCATGGTCAGTGGTTCTCTAACAGAAGCTCTTTTGAGCTTACCAAACACGTCTGAATCATACAAGAGAGCCACACAACATCCATTCTTACAACGAGCCGGAACGCTTTCCCTTTCGACTGACTCACTGCAGAGATGGTTAACGCAAGATCGTTTATATGCTTTGGTTGGCTATTCTGCATTCTTGGGAACATTGATCGCTAAACTACCAGCTCCAATTGTAGGACCTTCTTCATCAGAAGGTATCTTGCACAGACGACGATTGAGTGTCTTGGCCGGTGCGATGGCCAACATTGATCGAGAAGTGGGCTTTTTTGAACAAGTCGCCAAGGATAACGGACTGGACTTGGCCGCAAAATCTAAACCAACTGCAGCACAGAATGAAGTAGATTCACACCCACAAACATCACCAGGAAGCTCACTCGTCGACCTAGGATTGTTGAACAATATCACTCGTGGCTACATCGATTTTATGGTCTCGACCGCTTCACGAGGAACGTTTGAAGAAGGTTTAGTCTTACTATGGGCGATGGAGAAGATGTATTTGGATGCTTGGACGTATGCATCAAAGCATCTTAAATCGGAAGCACTTTCTTCTAAAGCCAATCAACAACCTGGTCCTGCAAAGGCTTTGCTACAGCTCATACCCAATTGGTCAAGTGCCGAATTTGCACAATTTGTCAAGGATATAGGCGAACTCATCGATGGACTTGACGTAAAGATTGATTCAGATTTAGGTAAACGTTTACAAGAAGTTTGGATCGTAACACTATGGTACGAGGAACGCTTCTGGCAAGCTGGGGAGTAATAGCTGCATTATCAATTCGTTAATGATATACATCATCATCCTTGCTTGACTGCGTCCACCTTCTTTCGCTTCGGGGCATTGTTGTGTGTTCAATGATCAGTTTGCGTAAGGTGTGAAAATTGAACGAATCGCAAGCCGACATCCGAACTGATCAACCACCATCATCTTATTGGACCAAGATGCATCTCAGTACCTATCTTGCTTATATTATAATTCTGTCAAACACAGCTGGGCTTGTGTTATCAAATGAAACGTTGCAAAGGAGGTCAGGACTGACTCCTATCCCTGCAAATGCTCCAAGCAATAGTGGCAGTAATGTTCCTGCGCCACGTATCGTAGAAGGCATCAATCTTGGTCATGGGCGGGGAACAAATCCTGTTAACAACCGTCAAAGGTATCACATGCATCCAGAATTGCCTGCAAACCATCCGATCAGACCTCAACAACATTCATCCGTACAGTATGAAGAAGATAAACCGGGAAAGTTGGAGCGTTTGACGGGAAAGAAGAGAAAACGAGAAGGTGGTTCTGAAGGAGGAGCAGCGAATGATCATGAAGCTGGACCTAGCGGTACGAAAGAAGAAGGAGAGACGAACAAACCAGAAGAACGACCACGAAAGAAATATCGACATTACTATAAAAGTAGTGGTAAGATGAGCAAAGAGGAAAGTAAAGGGGCTGGAAAGCTTTTTGGAGCTGTAGGTGCTGCCGTATCTAAAAAAGCAAAAAGTATCTACCGGGCAGGACAGAGAACCGTTCAAGGTGTTCGTGACGGATGTGGCGCAGCTTGCCAGGGTGTCCAACGAGCAGCCTCACGCTTGCGAAATCGATTGACCAGTAGACGAGATGCTGGGCGGAATGAAGCAAGCCAAGGTTCGCAACCTACTCATACCACTCGGGAACCTGGAATGTTGGGACGTATGACGGGTAAAAAGAGAAAAAGAGAAGGTGATCCTGAAGGAGGAACAGCGAATGACCATGAGGCTGAACTTAGCGGTGCAAAAGAAGAAGAAAAGACGAATACATCAGAAGAACGACCTCGAAAGAGATATCGACCTACACAACCTTTCAGGCGTCCTGCCTATCGATCTACTTCTGCTTCTTCTTCTTCCGACTCGGATCCCATCGATCATGGATCACCTCCACCACCAAGGACTAGACGAGGCATGACTTATCGACCGAGAAACTTCAGACACTCCAAATAAGGAGAGTATTCCTCTTTCTTTGTATTGCATAATGCACCGTCATCCTTTAAATAGGCCGGCAACTTGCAGAAGATGGCATCGACTTCCTTTTGTTTTCCAAGAGGATCATTTTGGCTGGTATGACCGAAAGAAGATTGCAGGCTGCAGACGGGTGTGTCAACTTGACCGATGGCGAATGGAGTGGAAGGCGTGGAGAATGCAAGACGATACAGTATCCTATCTCATGTTGCACTCGTCAACAAGAGTGTGATCCATCATCCAGAAAGGTCTGCGGTGAGGATCGATGTCACTTCAATCGTTGGAGGGCTTCCTCCTCCTGCCCTTCCTCCTCCTGCCCTTCCTCCTCCTGCCCTTCCTCCTCCTGCCCTTCCTCCTCCTGCCCTTCCTCCTCCTGCCCTTCCTCCTCCTGCCCTTCCTCCTCCTGCCCTTCCTCTCCGTCCTTCTGCCCTTCCTCCCCTCCTTCTGCCCTTTCTTCCCTTCTTCTGTCTTTCCTCCTTCTGTCTTTCCTCCTTCTGTCTTTCCTCCTTCTGTCTTTCCTCCTTCTGTCTTTCCTCCTTCTGTCTTTCCTCCTTCTGCCCTTTCTCCTACTGCCCTTCCTCCTACTACCCTTCCTCCTTCTCCTTCTGTCCTTCCCTCAGTCTGGATCCATTCACCATTTCTCTTCTTCTCCAGAGACTGCCAGTGTTTGCTTGTAAGAGCCCGATGAATGCGAGTGCAGAGTCATCATGAATGAAGAAACTTTGACCGGCTTAATTGATGAACCAATGACGACGGACTTCTTCAGTAATGTTGAATGGATGTCAAGCCAAAGAGTGTGAGGTTAAAGCATGAGAAGGAGGAGAGCAGAACACAAACAAATGTTGATGTCAAGTGTGCCATTTCTTCTATTGTCCCACTTGTTCGAATGCCACGTCATAATTTGATCTTGAGCGACTTCTCATGAATTTTGAAGGGTTTCGTCCGATCGGAAGAGTAAGAACTTGGCTGATTTGGGCCCCATTCAGGCGTTTGTACTTGTGAGCTCTTTCCATGAAGTAATGCGGATCGTGTTTGTGTTGATTGCCGCGTTCAATGTTGTGTGATGACTTGAAAAGAGAATTTTGTGATGCTGATTGTACGGTAGGTGGATCTCGATTAAATGAGATGTGATCATCAAATGAGAAGTGGACGATGCCGGATCGAATGAGCTGTGATCCAAAAACGAGAAGTGCATGATGCCGCTTGAGTGAGGACGCAAATGAGATGGCGTTCATTGACTTTTCAAAGGATTCACGGGTGCATCAATGGAAGATTCTGGTTGGTGAAGGTTGCATGCCTGCGTTTGCACTTGTGAGGATTTTCTTGAGAAGCGAAGTAATGCCATGTTTGCTTGTATTTGAGTGCCACAATCATTGTCTTGTGAGAATCTTGTGATGCTGACTGGATGGCAAGTGGATCTTGAATGTCAAATGGATGTTGAATGACAAGGGGTTGATGATGAAGAAATGAGAAGTGGATGACGATTACGGGATGAGAAGCGGATGATGATTGCGGGATGAGAAGTGAGTGGTGGTGGTAGTGATGACTATGATGAGAAGTGCGAGAAGTACAAAATGCTGGTTGGATGTGAAGTGACTCTCAAATGAGAAATAGGTCATCTTTTT